ATGGAAGTTTCCATGGTTATTGCTCACATGCATGCCTCATAGCAGTCTCATTAACTATAGTGACTGGACCACAATCAACTTGCCTATGTGCGAAGCTTACGTGCTTCTCATTCTGTATCGTATGGCACAAGAAAAATAATGTCTTACCTGTAAGCTTACAGATATTGAGTAATGTTAGACTGATCAAAATTTGGGATTAAATTTGAAGTCCAAATGATATGACAGTTGATTATTTGAAGTATTTATTGGGTCCCAAATGACATGACACCAATCAAAAAAGTCAAAGTCAACTGTCATGTCATTTGGATTCCAAATTTGATCTTAAAATTTGATCAGCCTAGCATTACTGAAAGATATTTGTCCATATGCCTACTCCAATTTAGGGTGGTAAATGATTAGAGTTATTCGCGCTCAATTTGAATTCGTTTTGTTTTGAGTTACACTTGAGTTTATTTGTTTAAAAAATAAGTTGAGTTTGAATAATTTTTTAGATCTGTTTAACTTGATTTAGGCTTGAGTTTGTAAAATTTGACTCATTCTTATAAAAAATAATCGAACTATTTGGACTCAATTTGTTTTAGACTTACCTCGAGCTCTTTTAAACTTAAATATTTTTTAAGACTCATTTTAAAAACCCAATTCATCAAGCTCAGACTCAAAACTTGTTTGTTTTTCTCGTTTACCATCCCTAGATTTAATCAATAAATATATATCATTAACTTGTCCCATTTTTATGAATAATTGAATAGGCATATAGAAGAAATGTGTATATTATGTAATGTAACATCAAATCAAATATCCTGTATTCAGTGGCGGAGGAGGGTAGGGCCAGGGGACTGGACCACCCTGAGTTTTTATTTTATATGTGTTTTATATATTTTTAAGATAATTTTAAATGGGTCCATTATAATGAGTTAAATAAAATAAAATAAATTAGGTCAAAGAAGTTAGGTTCACTATTATTTTTTTGGCTTGTTAAGCTGTAAATTAGGTTACAAATTTTTGAAATTTTATTGGTCTCTTTTTATTGTTTTTGAAAATTGACCCCAAGTCTAACCCTTTCATGAAAATTAGTGTTTTTCTTTTTTTGTTCTTTTTTCTAAATCTGTTTAATTAGTATAGTAAAATGTGATTTATAATATTATTCATGTCTAAGTTAGGTTATTATTTTTAATTATTTTTTATTTGCATAGAATATATGTATCGACTTTTTTGTTTTTAATAAATCTTTAAATATTAAATATAATGTAAAATATATATATATATATATATATATATATATATATNGAATCGTTAAATATTAAATATAATGTAAAATATATATATATCATATTACTTTTATCTGTTAAAAGACAAAGTAAAATTTTGAAATTAAAGTGCGTCTACCTTAGATCATATTTTTGGCTCTGCCAGAATTGCAATGGTGAATCTATTTTTTGACATTTATACACTTCGTTTTTTTTTTGAATATGTATTTATACACTACGTTGAATTTAGTTTTAATTGATGCAANCTGGCTCTGCCAGAATTGCAATGGTGAATCTATTTTTTGACATTTATACACTACGTTTTTTTTTTTGAATATGTATTTATACACTACGTTGAATTTAGTTTTAATTGATGCAAAGACTTTATAGTAATTTTAGATCCTAACTCTAATAATGCAAATTTGGACCCTTTTAAAACCATTTCCAGTGGGTTTGCATAAACCCCAAAACACAACACACACACCATACAGACAAGTAATCTTAGATATCTTTTTCATGCACTTGCTTAATAAAATCATCTCCACCAACCATCCAACGCCACCCCTTTTCGTGCACACCAATGGGTCATTTAGTTACGGTATTAAAGGGTAGATTACAGAGTCATAACAAATTAAGACTCCATAATCTAACTTTATATTACATTTAATTATAAAAAACACTAGACTCGTTTGGTAGACGTATTATGAGGGGATTAAATATTGGATTATATTATATTTTATTTAATCGGGTCTAATACTTTGTTTGGTAAGCAAATTTGATATCATATTAATTTAAAAAATGTATACTAATTGTATACTTATCGTATATTTTTTGTACGATAGACATGTATTATAAAAATATTTTAATACCACCAAGAGAGATGATATTATAATTCGGCTCAAACGTATTATTCTACATAGTTACTATTATAACCCTTCAAAAGATAAAATCAAGTTATCATCACTGTAAAAAACACTGATTAAAGGTATTTTTGTTAATTTAGCATTAATACGATAAAATAATTTTCTAATTAAACAACCGATTGGATTAAATAATTATATATAGTCTTATTTTAAATACTTATCAAATAATATACTCTATTTGTATTATTGAGCCAATTATAATACTACCTGGGGAGGTGATATTACAATCCAATTCATTATAAATTTACTATTTTACCAACAGATAAACAACAACTTTAATAAGTGGATAAGATTGATTATTTTTTAGTCAATATGTAATTGTTGTTCTCTTATCCCACTCTTAACCTAGTGTCTTACCAAACATTGTATTACAATGCATAATATTTTTATCTCTTATTTAATCTTGTATTTTACCTGCTTATACAGAATTAGCCTATGCTACTTAATATAATTTATTCTTTTATAATACGAGAAGCAAATGAGCCCAAGTGCATGTTTGGTTTGGANATGTGCTACTTAATACAATTTATTCTTTTATAATACGAGAAGCAAATGAGCCCAAGTGCATGTTTGGTTTGGATATAAATAAAGGATGGAATAAGATAAATGATTCTTATCCAATCCCTACAAATGGTATCCATAAGGGTATAATTTTATCCTATTTTTGGTATGTAAAATTTGGATCTAGATTAGTATAAAATATAAATTTATACTTATAATACCAAATCATGTTTAGATTAGGTAATAGTGTATAGTATTAAATTAAAAAATAATACTGGGTCGCTATCAAGGGCGGAACCACCTTATGCTCAAGGAGGGCACATGCCTACCCTCTAAATATTTTTTTTTAAAATTGCCTATATATTTTAAGTATGTTTTTAATATTGTAAATTGTGCCCACCTTATTTTTTAGTCAAGAGCATAAAAGACATGATATATCCATAAGTTTACTTGTAATTTTGATATTTATTTTAATAATTATCATAGACATGATAGAGAACACATTTGATTGTATAATTGAATGAATGATAAATAATTAAGTAATAGTATGATTGTAGATGTAAAGAATAATAAAGTTAATGTAAGGCTTTCAAAGTATAAAAATTCGTCACAATTAATTCTAAATAATTTTGATTAGTCTTTGTTTCGTAAAAGGATATAATTAGTCTTTCTTTTTTAATTTTTTTCAATTGTATCTACCATGCTTACTAATTTTAGTCTTTTGAGTTTAATAAATTTTTAAGTATTAAATATAATTTAATTAAATATAAATGCAATATCCTATCTTTAATCAATTGCAAGAAAAAAATTAAACTTGTTAAAATATTCGGTGCCCACTTAGAAAAGATTTTCTAGCTCCGCCCCTGATCGCTATAACCCATCAAAACTTAATATATTATTATTATTGGATTAAATTAATTTAATCCACCCATTAATATCTAAATCAAACATGCCCCAAGTGATGGAAATATGAATTTGAAAATAAAAGAGTGAGGTTTGAATTAGTTCGCTCTTTTAGAACAATTCACATCCTTTAATAAAATAAGCATAGTATCGTAGGTAATAATGTGTTGTCTCTAATATACAACAATCCAACCCAATTAATTATAGCNGTTTAGTTACGGTATTAAAGGGTGGATTACAGAGTCATAACAAATTAAGACTCCATAATCTAACTTTATACTACATTTAATTATAAAAAATACTAGACTCGTTTGGTAGACGTATTATGAGGGGATTAAATATTGGATTATACTATATTTTATTTAACGGGGTCTAATACTTTGTTTGGTAAGCAAATTTGATATCATATTAATTTCAAAAACGTATATTAATTGTATACTTATCGCATATTTTTTGTACGATAGACATGTATTATGAAAATATTTTAATACCACCAAGAGAGATAATATTATAATTCGACTCAAACGTATTATTCTACATAGTTACTATTATAACCCTTCAAAAGATAAAATTAAGTTATCATCACTGTAAAAAACACTGATTAAGGGTATTTTTGTTAATTTAGCATTAATACGATAAAATAATTTTCTAATTAAACAACCGNCCTCAAAAACATTATTTTTGTTGCACGATCCCCACTGTCAAAGAACTTAACTAAGATACTCACCGATCCCAAATAACTCTATTGATTCATACGTACGTACACATATGTTCTCTCTTTTCTACCTCTCTTATTTTTTATTTATTTACTTTAATTTTAAATTACGTAATTAAATAACAAAAAAATTATTATTTAAAATATTTTTAGACACTAGGTTATTGCTAATAATAAATAGGGTTAATAATATATTTAACCCCTAAAGTATGAATGTTTTATCAGTTTGATCTAAAATATTAATTTTATTAATTTAATCCTTAAAATATTCAATTCATACTTAAATAATTTATACATAGATGGATTGTTAAGTATTTGACAAAATAATCACATGTTAGTCACATAATATTGTCTGAAAAAATAACACGTGATCAATATCGTAAAAAAACTTAATGAATTATCTTATTAAAAGCCAAAATAACACAAATTAAAATTTTAAAAACCAAATTAATNTGTGATCAATATAGTAAAAAACCTTAACAAATTATCTTATTAAAAGCCAAAATAACACAAATTAAAATTTTAAAAACCAAATTAATNCGTGATCAATATCGTAAAAAAACTTAATGAATTATCTTATTAAAAGCCAAAATAACACAAATTAAAATTTTAAAAACCAAATTAATAATACTATTAACTTTAATAAATATGTAACAATTTATATTGAAGGTTATCACTCAATAATTGATGATTCTTCCCGAAGCCACTAGATTAGCAAAGTCCAACAACCAAACCAAAACCTCTATTATTAACTAATGAATTAGCCTCACTGGCCTCATAAATTCCACGCGCCAGATATTTTGAACCTTTTCAAAAGACTCAAAAAAACAAACATAAAAATAATAATATAATACAAAAATTTACACACGAAATCCCCACACATACATAAAATCACCTACATTATCAAAAACTCTTACCTACATTATCAAAAACTCTTACTCCTCTGCAACACCACACGCTCTCCCATGCTAGTACAACTACACGTCCTCCTAACACCAACTGGCCCCACATCTCTCCACGTATCACCCTCCTGCACCGTTGATCTTTCAGTCAATTCGCTCACACCATGATCTACCGTGATCTGAACCACACCCAAGCATTTCTCTTCATCATCCTTGACAAACATCTTGGTCGACCGACAGAGTGGACAGGACATGTGAGACCGCAGCCACGTGTCAATGCATCGAGGATGGAACAAGTGTCCACAGTATGGAATTAATTTCACAATTTCTTTTTCTTCAAATTCCCCCAAGCAAATTAGGCAGTCCTCGATCGGGTGGTTCGCGTCCGCACCGTAATGGATGAGAGGCAGAGATTTGACGGTGGCTGGGTCGAGGCCTTTGGGGTAGTGGTGGGGCCTTAATGAAGATGAAGAGGGTGGCGATGGCTGTCTACGACGGCGGACGTCGGTGCTGCCATCGTTTTCGTAGCCGGTGAAGCGGCGGATGTAGATGGAGAAGAAGCCCATGAAGAAGAGAGCTGTAAGGAGGACGAGGATGGTTAAGGCCATGGATGAATCAAAGGGTGTGTTGGGCTTGAAGGTTCTTTTTGTAGCGGTTGATGACGCGTTGATGGGATGTAAAAGTAGGTCTGGTGAGTATGTTGTGGTGCTGGTGACCGAGAGAGTGCTGTCTCGTGAAGAGTCATCTCCGATGAGTTGTAGTAGCTTTCTAACGTGCACTGGCTTCATTGGGAGATCAGAGATGTTTATGGTTGTTGCTTCGTTTGAGTGTATGAGAATGCGAGGAGGAGATGTGAGTACGGTGCTGGCGACCGAGAGACAGACAGACAGACAGAGAAGAGGGAAAGGAAGAGCCTAATTTTGCCACAAACATCTACATATAAGGTTTCTTGTGATATGTGTGCGTTGTCAGTTGTGTGTGTGTGGTGTGGTTGGAGGATGAGGATGTGGCGGGGTTTGGCGTATTGATGAGGGAGGAGGTGGCGGTAGAAGAGAGATTTGGGGGGGGGGGGGGGGGGGGGC